TTTTTTTTTAAAAAAAAAAAGATAATTATTTATTTGAGAGAGAGACAGAGAGCAAGCTGGCAGGAGTGGGAGGAGTGAAGATGGAGAGAGAGAAGTAGGATCCCACTGAGCAGAGACCCCCCCTGACATAGGGCTCGATCCCAGGACCCTGAGATCATGACCTGAGCCAAAGGCAGATGCTTAACCCACTGAGCCCCCCAGGCACCCCAAGAAAGAAAGAAAGTGCTGCTATGAGGAAGGCAAAAACAGAGTGCAAGAAAGGGGATTGAAAATATAAGGGGAAAAATTCTAAAGAAGTCAGGCATAGGTACACTGGATCCATCATCTAAGAAGAGTTCCAGAAACAGAGAGAAGATATAGGGGTTGGGATGATTTACTTTTTAAAAATAGAAGGAAATTCCTCCAGGCTGCAAAAATGATCAGGTTTTTAAAGCCTCCCTCAGCCTTCAAAAACATAATTAAAAAGCAGTTCTAGGTACATCCTGGTGAGATGTTGTAACTCCCAGAAGAGAGAGAATATCCTCCCCCTGCCAAAGAGAAGGGAAAATCCCCACTTCCCTGCAGAGGCAAGAGCATCATACTGCCTTGGATTTCACATCTCTGGATGATCAAGTTAGAAATCAAATTATCCTTAAAATCTGAGGAGAAATAATTTGCTCTTGGTTTAGCTGCAGGGTTGCATCAATCAGGTAAGAAGGACATGAAGTCAGAAATTTTAATGCCATCTATAAGAATTTATCAGTAATGTTTATATCAAAACATAAAATGGATCCAAGGAAGGTGATAATAAATTGAAATACCAGAACTGGCAACTAAGAGTTACCAAGGTAAAAAAAAAAACAAAAACAAAAACAAGTATGGAGTAAAAAGCCAACGAAACCTATGCCTACAGAAAATTATGCATCAGTCAGCAAAGTCTGATTGACAATGACTTTCCCTTGGTGGGTTCCATCCTACCCTCTACTTCGGCCTTGAAAAATTGGAACGAAAGCCTTTTAACGCTGTCTCTTGATAAGGTTTGGAAACGACCTGCAGGGAAGTTACAGAAGACTTGATATAAATTTTGGAGCAGATTGTAAATGTTATACCTGGAAATACTGGCATATACTTTAAAAATAGAGTCTAACAAGACATAGGTAGTGGAGGAAGGCATTGTGCTAAATAGCATAGAAAGACATGGTCCCAAGTCAATAAGTCAAGACATTAAGATCCATGATTCAAGCAGTGAGTGCATTATCTAAAATTATATTGGTGAACACCAGGAAGTGACAACCGAGTGTCCGTTCTTTTTCATGGTGGTTATTTCTGGAAAGAGAAACAGGCTGGTGAAGGAAGGAAGGGGGCCTCTGTGCAGATAAAAATGTGTCTTGCAGTCGCCTTTATCTTTTTTAGCCAAGTGCATGCATGATGTCAATTTTCATTTGTTTGTTTTAAGGTTTTTATTTTATTTATTAAAAGATGTTATTTATTTATTCATGAGAGACACACAGAGAGAGGTAGAGACACAGGCAGAGACAGGAGAAACAGACTCCCTGTGGGGAGCCCAATGTGGGACTCGATCCCAGGACCCCAGGATCATGACCTGAGCCAAAGGCAGATGCCCAACCACTGAACCACCCAGGTGCCCCTGCCCCTTCTAAACTCAATATTGGTTCACTATTCTGGGCCTATTGAATTTTCATGTGAATTTTGCAATCTGCTTGTCAGTCCTTGCAGAGTAGCCAGTTGGGCTTTTTGTGGGAATTGTGCTGAATCCCTAAGTGATTTGGGGAATATTGCCATTTTAACAAGATTAAGTCCTCTGATATATAGACATGGGTGTCTTCCCATTTATTTAAGTCTTCAAATTCTTTAAACAGTGTTTTTTAATTTTTACAGCAAGATGTTCATGCTTCCTTATTCATTTTATTCCTAAGTATCTTGTGCTTTTTAATGATACTATAAATGGAATTGGTTTCTTTTGTTTTTAGATTGTTCATTGTACGTGTGTAGAAATACAGTTGACTTTCATATGGATACTTAAAAACCTTTTAGAACTAGTTTATTCTCCTTTGTTTTTTGGAAGACTCCTCAAAATTTTCTATATACAAGATTATGCCTTCTGCAATAAATAGTTTCATTTTGTCCTTTCCAATCTGGATGCCTTTTATTTCACGTTCCTGACTTATTCTCCTGGTTAAAAAACCTCCAGGAAAATGGTAAATAGAAGCTGCAAGAGTGGGAACTCTTGTCTTTTTCCTGATCTCAGAGAGAAAACATCCAGCCTTCTATCATTAAGTATTGTCTTAACTACAGTATTTCATAGTATGCCTTTTTTTCTGGTTCAGGAAGTTCCCTTTTATTCCTGATTTGCTTTAAAAAAAAATCATGATCGAGTGGTAAACTCTGTCAATTTAAAAAAAATCAAGATTGCAGAATTTTGTCCATTTTTTTCTTTTTTTATATCTACCAAGTTTATCATTTTTTGGTCTTTTATTGCTATGGCATATTATAGTAATTTTTGGATGTTAAACTGACACTGTATTCCTGGCATAAATCCCACTTGCTTATGATGTACAATCTGTTTTATATGTTGATGGATTGAATTTGCTGGTATTTTGTTGAGGATTTTTGTATATATTCGTAAGAGATACTGGTCTGTAGTTACTTGTGAAATCTTTGTCTCAAGCTGGTATCAAGGTAATATTGGCCTCAAAAAGAGTGATAAGTGTTCTCTCTTATTCCACTTTTTGGCAGAGTTTGTGAAGGGTTGGTATTAGTCCTTTGAATGTTTGCTGGAATTCCCCAATGAAGCTCTGGACCTGGCTTTCCTTATGGATAGTTTTTTGATTACTGTCCTGCTATAGATATTTTCAGATTTTCCATTTCTGCTTGATTCACTTTGGTGGTTTGGGTCTCTCACCTGAGCTACCTAGAGTCACCATGTTACCATACAGCTGGTCACAGGAGCCCCTTATAACACTTTATGTTTCTGCAAGGTCTGTAGTAATGTCTCCTTTTTCACTTCTGATTTTAACAATTTGAGTCTTCCCCCATCTTTGGTCAGTCTAGCAGAAAGTTTGTTAATTTTGTTGATATTTTCAAAGGATCAACTTTGAGGGTGTTGATTTTTCTCTAATGCTTTTCTACTCTTTATTCTACTAACTTCTACTGTAATGGGATCTTTCCTACACTTTTCTTCCTTTGGAATTAGTTTGCTCTTATAAGGTCGGAGATTAGGTTACAGATTTTCGATCTCTGTTCTCATTTAACATAGCTATCCAAAGCTATAGTTTCCTTCTAAGCACTAAGCTGCATCCCCCCCATGACTTTTTGACTTTTTTTTTTGCTTTTGCTTTCTTGGAGTTTTGCTGCCTTCTCTCCAGTTTGTGCCTGTTCATACTGCTCCTTCGTGACCCCCCTTTTCTGCCCCGTCCTTACTAAATGTAGCCAGAGAGCTTGGGCTCCCAACTGTGCCAAGTGCTTGGTTTTGTCTTGTCTCATTAGCGTCCCCCAGCAGCTCTGGGAAGAAGGTGCTGTCATTATTCTCCATCTGCAGGCAACTCCCGTGCAGAAAATTCAAGTAGAAAACTCACTAAACTCTCTTATATCAGATTTGGCATTCCGTCTTCTCTTGCTACATGCCTTACCTCTGGCTGACTATTACTTATTATAGTGCTGTTTATGTGTGGATGAGACCCAAGTATTTAACACTAGAATAGATGTCTCTGCTGAGCTTTCAGACTAAAGCCCAGTCACCTACCCAGATACTATCTCTTCTTGTCTGTCCTACAAACTTGACCCAATCACAGCTGCCTCCTCATCACCTTCTTCAAACCTACTTCTCTCTGCTGCCTTTCATCCTGACTAATGGAGCCACCACTCACCTGCTTGCCCAGCTCTGCCCCAGATATCAGTGCCCATCAGCTTTGTGCCCTGGCCTGAACATTGGATCTGTTCCTGCCCTTGTATGTCTACAAGTGGCACTGTCTTCTGGATGATGTGCCTTTCATCACTTAACGTCTTCATCCAGCCTTCTGTGAAATCTCTCCTGAGGGCCCACACAGAACTGCATGCCCCACCATGCTGTTATCTTGGTAATACTTGATGCCTGGTAATTCTTAAAAAATAAAGTACCTATAATGATCTTAATTTAGATTGAAATTTGATTTGAACAAAAGGACCCTGCAAGCTTCTTAGTTGACTGTCCACTCATGCTACTCAATGAGCCCCTCTACATCATGGCCTTAGTAGCACCCAAGCCTCTGAGACCATTTCCCTGTCCACATGGCCTGGGGGCACTGAGGGTGTCAGCAGCACTTGGTTTGCCTTCCAGCCCTCACCTGTCACCAGCTGTGTGAAATCGGGACATGATATTCCCCAGTGCCTTCTGTGTTTCCAGTTATTTCATTGCAAAAGGACAGTGACAGCGGTGCTGCAGGGTGGTGAGGATTTCATGAGTTAATGTGAATATTGAATAAATATTAATAGAATTCTCCTCCCCTTTCCCCCTGTACTTATAAAATATCATGTATCATTATCACCTGAATTTCAGATGTTCACAGTATTTTGTGTAAAACAATAAGGGTATTTGGTGATATTGTGTGTGTGTGTGTGTGTGTGTGTGTGTGTGTGTGTGTTGGGAGGGTGGTTAATTCCCATCTTTCCTTTACCTTTTCTTGATTCCACCTCCCTTGGCCTGACTTGGCACCTCTTCCCTAGGCACAGGGATGCTCAGTCGTGGCCCAAGAAGGAGAAATAGAACTCCAGTTAACTACTAAATATATTGGCTGTCCTATTGGAAACTGGAGATTGCCCATAATTACTGGATTTAGATAGAAGGATAGAATTTTTAAATGAAATTCAAATTTTCTTATGTCGGGACAGCAAAAGCAAAATTCATCACTCCAGTTCTTTTTAAGCTATCAAAAGGGGGTAGAGCCATCCTTCTTGAGATTGTCTTAATTAAAAAAATTTTTTTTTTTGAACTAATACTCTCACACATCTGGTTCCTTTGCTAGGTGCTTCCTGGTTGACAGTCTGAGCTCTCAAGCACCATGCCGGAACAAAGCAATGATTACCGGGTGGCCGTGTTCGGGGCAGGTGGTGTTGGCAAGAGCTCGCTGGTCTTGAGGTTTGTGAAGGGCACGTTCCGGGAGAGCTACATCCCCACGGTGGAGGATACCTACCGGCAGGTCATCAGCTGTGACAAGAGCATCTGCACGCTGCAGATCACGGACACCACGGGCAGCCACCAGTTCCCCGCCATGCAGCGGCTGTCCATCTCCAAGGGGCACGCCTTCATCCTGGTCTACTCCATCACCAGCCGGCAGTCCTTGGAGGAGCTCAAGCCCATCTACGAACAGATCTGCGAGATCAAAGGGGACGTGGAGAGCATCCCCATCATGCTGGTGGGGAACAAGTGTGATGAGAGCCCCAACCGCGAGGTGGAGAGTGGCGAGGCCGAGGCCCTGGCCCGCAAGTGGAAGTGCGCCTTCATGGAGACCTCCGCCAAGCTCAACCACAACGTGAAGGAGCTCTTCCAGGAGCTGCTCAACCTGGAGAAACGCAGGACCGTGAGCCTCCAGATCGACGGGAAAAAGAGCAAGCAGCAGAAGAGGAAAGAAAAGCTCAAGGGCAAATGCGTGGTCATGTGAACGCCCTTCCATGGGAGAAGCCGCAGCGTGTCCCCCATTCCGTCCCCTTCCCCCCACCACGTGACACCACCGTCGTCAGGGTAGCATGTATGATGCCCACCTGTTCAATATCGCCTTTTGACAGAGATGTGCCCTGTCGTCCCTGAGAGGGCATTTCACACCGCCTCCGATCAGCGCCCCTCTCTGGAATCAGGGACTCTGCCCAGCGGCTTAGATGGAAACCCGTGTGCCCGGCAGCACAGGGGACCGCCACAGGTGCCAGCCATGGCCCCTGGTGGCTGTGCCCGGAGAAGGCTTGGGGCTGGTATGGGCGGGAGTGGGTCCCCTCTGCATGCATGTGACAGCCTGTGACCCAGAGCTACAGCCCACCCAGCCCGGGCCTTTCCCTCCGGTGGCGGAGCTGGTCATCCTTGGAGGCGGGAAGGGGGTGGGAGGCGAGGAGACCAGGCCAACACGGTTCCTTCCATTTCAGGTTCTCTAGTAAAATCACAAAAAAAATGACACAGCATCCCCCTCCGCCCCCGAGGGTGCTCACTGTTGGGTCCCTGGCTCCGGGGAGCCTTGCCCCTCCAAGGGGATGCACTCACCTCACTAGGCCTAGTTAGCAGGCATCCCCATCCCCGTTTGGAGTATTTATTTCCCATACAATGATGAGTTCTCGAAGGGCGTCCTGCTGGGTCAGAGACCCTTCCATGTGGGAGTGAGGATATTTTGACGTGACTAGAGCAGCTCCCTAAGGCTCTGCGTGTTACACTTGAGGATTTTAGAAATGTGCTTTATTTTCCTTCCTTTGACCCATGAGTGGTATGCTTCTTCCAGCCCCTCAGATTTTAAATAAATGCAATTAAAGTAGCTATTTTTAGACAATTATTTTCCCTCCAAAATAGTTTCCTTCTTTTCAGTAACTCTGTCTGTATCCAGCTGGGGAACAGCCAGCAAAGGCCACCCAAAGACCAGAAGCACATCCGTTTTCTAAATCACATGGGTATCTAAACGCCATACTTTGCACCTCAACAAAATACTTTGAAACAGAAGTTGTTCACTGTGTTTTTGATGATCTGTCTATCACAGAAGTATACTCCTGGAAAATGTGCTCGAGTAATAGATTATCTTGCATGCTCCCTCAGAAGTGTCTTCTAAGAGCTGTTCGATGCCATGTTCACTCTGGAAACAGTTATCTTTTCCTCTTAGTGACCTTGTGTGCATCCTTGATCCTCTGGACCAAATTAGGGCCCCTGCCGGTTCCTGCATGCTGGTGACGAGATGGACGGTGGCCAGTGGCTGGAGACAGGAAAGCTGCTCTGTTGTGGGCCGGGCACAGTCCACTCAGTTGCTCTGTCCAGTCTGGTTTGGCTCTGCTTCCAGAAAGTTCCCAGCCTGTGAGTCCTCCTATTTGTTCCAGTCTGTGTAGCTCACACTTGGCCTGGACTCTAGAATCTTCCTTCCAGCAGTGCTCCCTGCCTGGCAGATAGAGGAAGCTCTGGGCTGGTACAGGGAGCCCCCAGCTGTGGGGCCTCTGCACCAGCCTCAGCAGAGAGGTCCCCAACTTGGGGACGTTTGCGTGCACCTTCTTTGGTTCTGCTCCGCTCTCCTGCCGTAGCCAGGATCTCCCTCCTGCCCTCGGCATATCCTCATCAGCCCTTTGTGATTAAATGTCCTTGCTTTTGCTCATCTTCCATACTCTGCTGGCAGGTCCCCCTGTGGTATGTGTCCGTGTGTGGAGGCACCTTTGAGAATCAGCGGCCTCACTGTCTTCCCGTATCTTGGCCAACTAGAGCCACCCTGAGGAGGGGGGCATGGATGTGGCCTGGGAGCCAGTGGGGTCAGGGACCCCAGAACACCCCAGCCAGACCTGAGGCCCCATCCAGTCCCAATGCATGCACCCTCCCTGTGGTGGCAGCCCCACAGTCTTTACAGTGACACCTAGTTGGTGAACTTCCTAGAACATTTATTTTCCAACCTATCCCTATTTTTTTTTCTGTTTCTATTCTCAGAAAGATGTTATCAGTTTGTCATTTGGATGTGGGTTCAGTGGAAGAAGAAATAGGACTTGGTGGCCACAGTGGGAGGCTGGGGGTTGGCCATGGGCTGCATGTCCCTAAGGCTCCCAAGCATGAGGTCTCTCTGCCGGGCGTCCTTTTCCCACAGATATAAGTCACAGTTCCCGTTCTGCCTCTCACATCGAATGTCTAGAGCTTCACCAACAGGAGAAGCTTCAGATGGTTGAAAATTGAAGTGCGCTTGGGACACATTCTGTTCCTTTGTGCTTTGCCTGTGGGTCTGTAGGAAGGTCATTGATGCCTCAGCCGCAGGTCTTTGCTGTGATTTTCTATGAACTGCGCTGAGGGTTTGACGATTATCTCAAAATAGTCTTTGAGGAGATCCCCGTTGTCTCAGGGCTCCAGGAGTTAGCTCCTCAGGATCAGATGTGCTTAGCATGTATGTGGCCCCGTCCTCAATATGTAGCTGTGGTTCCAGAGGATCCGTCCCACGTTGCACATGGGCACAGAGGTTTTGGACCGAGCCACACCATACGTCACAAAACTCCAAATATTGCTTTGAAGATGGCATTCCAGGGATAAGCATGGGGTTCCACGAGCCCCTTCTGTCCCTTCCCATCTCTCCTCCATCTGGTAACAAGCCATGGGCGTGCCCTGGGCATGCATGCAATACAGCAGGACCAAACAAGAGCAATATTGAATTGTTCATTAGATCTCAAATTATATATATCTATATATGTATATAGATATATATAATTTATCTTCCTGCATTTTTGAAGTATAAAGCCGTACACTGTACATACCTGTAAGCTAGCATCCTTGTTTCACCATTTCTAATATTTAAGAAATGTGCATTCTTTGTAGAACAAACGACTATTAAAGGTTTTAAAAACTGCTCTGTGATACGTCATTTCCTTTTCAAGATTTGTAACGTGTCGCCCATACATCAGCTCTCTGGAAACATCCATCACTAACGGGACACACGTAAACCCTGGAAGCATCCTGGAACTCGGTCCGCCACAGAGACCGAATGTGGACAGAGTATTGACAGAGCATGACTTTTATACGTGTGTATATTTATATTTATGGTGTATATTGTTACAACTCCATGATCTATTTTATTTGTTCTTCAGTTACAAAAGCCACCCTTGCATACCAGTTTCTAGTTGCCCGTGATGTTCTGAACATAATGAAACCTATTGTAATAAAGCTTCAGTTTTGACCCCCTGGCCAGTAGGTGGTGGTGTTTTTACCGAACCTTTGGGGGGTGCAGCGGGCCGGGGAGGGTCTGCACCTCCTTGTCTCCCACCTCCTTCCGAGCGCACACCGCGGGGAGCTCTTCGCGGGGCTGGGATGGGGACAGCGTTTCCGGAGGTTTTCGCTGGGGATCCCTGATGTGCTTTCAGGCAAAGCAAAAGAAGCATTAAGTTTCCTTGCTGCCTGCAGCCCACGGGCAAGTCCTCGGCGGGCATTTCTCTGGGACTGGGCGGCCTCAATGTTGGTACTTTGCTGGGGGGGGGGGCAGCAGTCCTGGAATCCTGTGCATCTGCCTTAGCAGGTACACATTCCTTCGGAGGGAGGCCTGAGGAGCTCAGTGGGTGAAGCATCTGCCTTTGGCTCAGGTCATGATGTCAGGATCCTGGGATGAGTCCTGCGGCGGCTGGCTAGCTGCTCAGCGGGGAGCCTGCTTCTCCCTCTCCCTCTGCTGCTCCCCTTGCTTGTGCTGTCTCGTTCACTCTCTCTCTCTCTCTGTCAAATAAATAAATACAATCTTAAAAAAAAAAAAAGTTCCGTTGGAGACATCCTTTGTCTCTTCCTGCCCAGGACACGGGTTGTGGGTCATCCCCCAAGCACATGACCCACCGATGTACATCTGTGGGCTGGGGTGGGGTCTCATGGGTGGGGTTTTATTAGACACTGATGAATGACCTTTTCCTGACAATGGATGGCCCATCAAGGTCTTGGAGGCCTTGCTTCCAAAATTCCTTAGAGACCTGTTGTCCCTGACCCCCTGCCAACGTCAAAGTGTGTGGTCGGCTGCTCCTCGTGGCCCCAGTGCAGCCCTTCCTGCCCACAGGTCTGGTCCCCCTGGGCTTTATTTATTTTTTTTAATTTTTATTTATTTATGATAGGCACACAGTGAGAGAGAGAGGCAGAGACACAGGCAGAGGGAGAAGCAGGCTCCATGCACCGGGAGCCCGACGTGGGATTCGATCCCGGGTCTCCAGGATCGCGCCCTGGGCCAAAGGCAGGCGCCAAACCGCTGCGCCACCCAGGGATCCCCCCCTGGGCTTTAATAAATCCACCTTTCTGCATCATAGATGTCTCAAGAATTCTTTCCTGACCATTGGCTTCAGACCCCAACATCTTTCCTCCATCAGTCCAGTACTCAGGCTGAGGTGAAAGGGAGGAAGTAGAGGCAGGGCTCTCTTGGACTCCAAATTCCAGTGAGGAAAAGCTCCCTTCTTGTCCTGCATCTCCGCTCCCCATGTCCTCTCAAGGGCAGGCTGTTAAGTGGGTTTGCTCCTGAAAACCCCAGTGCTGTTTCTGGGCTGTTTTGACATCCTTGGTCCTTACTCCTCCTTCTCAAGGCTAATTATAATATAAACCTGACTTTTGGTAACACGGGGAAAGCAAATCAACAACTACAGACAGGAGAAAACCCTCTGTCCCCTCGCGAACAGCTAGGTGACCACGGGCAGGTTTTGAACCTCCCGGAGCTTCTGTAAAATGGGAATTAGCAGCACATAGAGACCCTGGACCTTGCAGGACTCTGCTGGAGGGTTTGTGGCAGGGGGAGGATTCATCTGTGCAGGTACAACAGTCAGCCAGCAACTCCCCGGTTCCTGAGGCCTCTTTAATGGCTTTGCTGCCCTGGCTCTCCGCAGGCCCCGCCCCTACCCCCAGGTCAGCATTGCTACATTATTCAGGGGTTTCTCCACTTACACAGATAATTGCAATCAGCAGGCCCCATTAGGCCCCATTAAAGGACATCCCATCCGGTACTTACCAAGCTTTAATGTGCAAATAAAGCTCCTGAAGGACCTTGTGACTCCCCGGAGCTGGAGTGGGCAGGGCTGGGCCCGGCCTGGGAGTCTGCATTCCGAGGAGGCTTCCTGGCCACGCTGATGCTTCTGGTCACCGACCCGCTGCACTTTGAGTCGTGAGGCTGTCGTCTCTTTGTATGCCAATTCCGCTGCACTTTGGGGGTCACCTGGAGAGGTTCTGAAACCTCCTGATCCCCAGGCCCCAATCCCGAAATTCTAATGTAGGAGGGTCCAGAACGTGGCCTTAGCTCAAGATGTTTCTGCGTAATCAAAACGTGGAATAGAGTTTGAGAGCCCTGCTGGTAGCCAGGGTGAGCTGGGAATGTCTGCCCCGCCCCGCTCAATCTCCCAGACGGAGGGGCATTGCTTATTAAATCAAATTTCTCTGTAATGAAAGTTTTCCAGGCAGCAGATTGGAGGGATTTGCGTGGGGCCCCCACCATGTCCAGCAGTGCCCGAGCCTGGCGCAGAGAGAAACGTTTAATCCAGGTCGAGAGCTCCCGCTCACCTGCACCTCCCAGGAGGGTCACATTAGTTCTGAGTGTGAGGGGACCTGGTGTGTCTTGGGTCCGAGTCCCACGCTTTCTGGGGTGTTCTATCCTAGGCTGGCCTGACCTGTGGTGCACACCGCATTCCTAACAACTCAAGCTCTTCTGAATCCCAAAGACCAACGGCCTCCCCCTCCGTCCCATCCTGACTCTGCAGGCTTGCCTTGCCCCAGAACCTGAGTCTGAGGGTCAGTGGTCAGAGCCCCGACACCCCACACTCACTCCCTCCATTTCTCAGCCCCAGGGCCCTGGCTCTGCCTGCCTCGGTCCTGCCTCATTCACATGGGGCCTGTGCTTGCGTGTGCTCGCGTGCCTTCCTATTTCCACATTTCTGGGTGGTTCTCAATCACCTTACCCTTCCATTATCTTCTCTGGACTAGAAGCGGACTTTGCCCAACCTGGAGATTCACGTCATGGGCAGACCCAGAGAGGCTGCCACCTGCCTCCGGGATTTTAACAGCACTTCGGTGTCATAATGATAATACTGTTGTTTTTGATGAGGGAGCAGAAGATAAGCTGAGAACAAAGCACAAGCTGACACCCCGGGACACCTGTCCCCACGGGTGGGATACGTGTGACGTCCCCCAGGCACTCCCGGCTGCCCTAAAACCAAGGGAAGGGAAAACAAATGGCTAACGGGCAGCGATCACAGCTCCGCAGGACAGTCTCCCTCCTTCCACCAACCTCTCAGTGATTCACAAGGGAAAGGCATTCTTACCATAACCTGACCTCCAGAAGCCCATCACTCCATTCCCTGGAGCCCTCACGTCACCCTCCCCTCCGTGAGTGATGTGGGAAACAGAGGCAGAAGGGAAGTGAAATTAAGCTTCTTTGTGACCTGCCGCCCCTTGACAAGCGCAGAGAGAGAAGAGGGTAAGGGGCCTCCAGGAAGCTCCCAACTGTCTCAATGCTGGTGCCTCTGTGGGAGGAACAACCATCTGCACTGGGCGGGGGCCAGGCCTCCGGGGTCCCGAGGGTCCCCAGAGCAGGTGAAAGCCCTTCGGGACACCCCCAGCCCCCCAGTAGAGAACCAGCACCCCTCACCAGACCAGGGCAGCAGCTCTCTTGCCCACGGGTCCCGTCCCCGGGCTCTGAGCTTTCATAAAACCACCTTTTTGCACTCAAGACCTCTCAAGCATTCTCTCCTGGTCATTGGCTCTTGACCTCACCAACATCCCCAAACTGCATCAGTTTTTATTGGTTTGCTCTTACAGTGCCCCGTGTGCCCCGTGCAGCGCGGAGGGCGTCAGCCTATGTGTAGGACACGGAGCCCAGCGCCCCTGCAGCCCGACTCCTATAAGGACGGGCTCTGGGGCTGAGGAAGCCTGAGCCGAGGTGCAGCCACTCCCGGGCGGTGAGATGAAAACCAAGCAGGTGCTTCCTGGGGCCACACAGGGCGCGCCACCAGGCCACCGACGGGACATCAAGCGCTCGCTAGGCTAGCCTCTCGCCAGAGGTCGGGCTGCGGCCTCCCCGTGAGGATGCGTGAGCTTCGGGGAGCACCTCTGGAAAGTACCCCCTGCTCATGAGCGGGGAGGGCGCGTGCACACACACACACACACACAGACACACACACACACACACACACGTGTGCACGCGCCCACGCTCCCTGAACCGTAGTACTAAAACAGCCCCCAGTACGCGGTGTGACAACCACAGGTTTAGTCTGGGGGTCTCAGAGGAGGACGAGGAGAAGGCTTTGCCTGGTGCACCACTGTCGCTGTAACACCCACGACATACAACCATAACGTGGGGGTGTCGCCCGGCACTGCTGCTTCCTCTGCTCCAAAACCCGTTCTCTGTCCTCGTGTCCCGTCCCCACACCTGAGCATCCATTCCCATGTCCCAGCTGCACCCAGCGAAGTCCAGGAAGCCCTCCCCAGTCGTTAAAAACAAACGAATTCTCTCCGCCTTCCTGACACCTGTTTGGCATCCTCTACGGCTCTTCCAACAGGTTTCCTTGTGCTGAGAAGGGGTACACCCGCGTCCCGATTCACTCATGCAGCTGGACCTCAAGTCCCTGCTGAACCTTCTTGGCAGCTGGAATTGTACCTTGGAGCAAGTAAGCGCCCGTAGGCCGTGGTTCCGACGGGCAGCCGAGGGTGCCTAACCCTTCCGACGGGGTTCCTCGGGCTCTGCACATGCACCCATCTGTGCCTCAGGGCGCAGAGCAGGACTGCGTGTCCCAGCTCCCCGCATGTCAGGTGGATTCTGGCCCTTTCCCTCTTAGGGCAGAAGAGACACCTGTTATTTCCAGGCTGGAGTGAGTCCTTCATCTCCAAGGAGCTGCTCTTGGGGTCTCCCCTGCCCGTGTCCCCCAGGAGCCTCTGCTGGTCTCAGCTGTTGAAATCTGGGGGGCTGTGGGTTCCAGTAGCACCGTCCACCTGACCTTGACTCATACACACTCCCTGGTTTCTAACCCCAAGGTTAGCATTTCCTCTTGCTAATGGTTCTGTCTTAAAATAGCAAATGAATAAATAAAATAGATCAAGTACAAATAAATGCAGTGCTATGAAGTAAGAAATTCTGAAGAACATGCCTGAGTTACACTTATAAACTGTGATTTAATCTTTGATGGATTATTTAAAGAAAAAAAAGCATTCTTGGGGGCGCCTGGGAGGCTCAGTTGGTT